TCTCTCTCAATCCCTCACTCCCTCACTCCCCACTCCCACTCTCTCACTCTCTCACTCTCTCACTCTCTCACTCTCTCACTCTCTCACTCTCTCACTCTCTCTCTGACTTTCATTTACATATTTTTTTCTCTTACAAGTCTCTAGTCTCTCTCACCTCTCCCTCCCTCCCTCCCTCTATCTCCTCCCTCTCCCTCCCCCTCCCCCTCCCCCCTCTCCCTACCCCCTCCCCCTCTCACTCTCTATCTCCTCCCTCTCTCCCTCTCCCTCCCCTCCCCTCTCACTCTCTATCTCCTCCACCCTCCCTCCCTCCTACCCTCTCACTCTCTATCTCCTCCCTCCCCCTCCCTCTCTTTCTCTATCTCCACTCCCCCCCTCCTCTCTCTTCCTCTCTCCTCTCTTCCAACTCTTCAACAGGTGTCAGTTCACACAGTCGGCCGCCCTCTCGTCACAGCTGTACCCGAGCCAAAACACCTGTGGCTCGCTACTTGCACGGAGCGCTCCTCTTCACACGAAACACACCCGGTTAAGCTAAACGTGGTATCTACTCTTCTCTCTCTCGTCTGGCTATGGTGAACAGATGAAGGAGATGAACACTAGATGCCCGTTGGTGTCCCCCTATATGGTGTCTCTTTCTTTTTTTTTCTTTCTTTCTTTTTGTCGGATTTTGTCTGATTTTTAAAAAAAATATCTTGTTTTGTTTTCAGGCACTATTCACAGATCGTTCTTACTTTTTTATTCGTTATCTATCTGTCTGTCTATATGTATAGATTTGTACTTTTCTCTATACATTCGTCTCTCTGTTTCTGTGTCTGTCTGTGGCTCTGTCTGTCTGTCTCATTCTCTCTCCATCTGTTTCTTCGATCTATCTCTATCGTTCTATCTGTTGATTCATTCATCCATACATATGCGTCTGTTTGTTTGTGCGTGTGTGTGTGTATGTGTGTGTGCGTGTGTGTGTCTGTGTGTGCATCTAAACTAATCCGCCCAGTCCATTTCCGCGATTATGCACCTGCAATTACCTGCAACGAATTTACCACGACTCAAATATTAAAAGATCATCTGCAAACATGCAACATCGTTTGGACAAGCAAAACCACCGTGCGACCTCCCACAGACCAGACACTCTACAACACAATATTCCGTTTCTTTATAATGTACAACACATTCCGTCCCCACATTTTCACTATTACATGAATTCATAATCTCCATTTTTTTCCTTGGCTTTTATGGTCATTTCCCCCAGCGCCGCAAGAAATCAAAATAAAAAATAAGATAAGAAAAATTAAACTTTTTCAATAGGATTCGCCACGGAGTCCATATTGCAAGCTGCCACATGAAAACACACTTTTGCATTTACATTCTCGACAATTCACTGGATCTTTCTGATTTCTTGCAACATAACCCAAATAAAGTCATCGGTTCATACACAAAAATCCTTATCTTTAATTTCCTATACCTCTCATATGATCATCCTTATCAAGATTATCAAATGATTATCACTTTATTGGCCTCGTTGCTCTTAAATCTCCATTTCCTTTATCATCGCTATCTTCCTTATTTCTTCATCCTTACTAATCTCACTTAGCCATCATGTTGTCTCGTCTCGCTTCTCATCTCAACTCACTTCGCACACTTCAAACCTTTCCAGATGAGGTGTTTGTTGAGCTAAATCAAGACATGTCTTTATCAGCGTTTAATTGAATTGCTTGCAGGCCCAACAAGGATTGCAAATTGCAACTTGCCGAGCTTGCGCTTCTGAGATCCTGCGTCTATCCTTCTGCTTTCTCTACATCATTATTCATTTTTTCTTTTTTTGTGTCTATTTATTTATTTGTTTTCTTCTTTTTTCCATTTTCATATTTTTTCTTGTCCCTTTCTCCCTCTTTCTTTCTTTATTCCCTTCTTTATTTCCCCCTCTCCCTTATCCCGATCTTCTTTTCATTTTTCTTTTTTTTGCCTCTTTCCTTCCTTCGCTTTTCTCTTCTTTTCTCCCTCCGTCCTTTCTATCTTTTCCCCCCATTTCTTCCTCCTTTGTGCCTTTCTCTTCCTTCCCCTTTCTTTCCTTCTTTTTCCTCCCCCTCCCCTGTATTCCGTCCTTCCCTCCATACTTTAGCTCTTTACTCCTCCCTCCCTCCTTCTCCCCCCCCCCACCCCACCCCTCCTCCTATCCTTCCTCCCTCCTTCCTTCCCCCCCCCCCCTTCTATCCTTCCTCCTCCTTCCTTCCTTCCTCCTCCTCCCTCCCTCTCTCTCCTTCCTCCCTCCCATACTTCCTCCCTTCCTTCCACCCTTCCTCTCTTCCTTCCTCCTTCCTATCATCCTTCCATCCTTCCTTCCTTCCGCTCTTCCTCTCTCCCTCCCTTCCTTCTTCCTTCCTCTCGTCCTCCCTTACTCCCTTCCACATAACCAGCAACAGACTCTCCCACATAGGGATAGATACCAAACTTCGATATCAATTTAATCTACATCTGATCCTCGAGGCTGATGACTCTCCCCCCCCCCCCCTCCACTCCCCCCCCCTCTTCCTGCCAACTTTCGGTGCTAAAGTTCCCAGACGGCAAAACACCTATTATTATTTGTTTCAATTTCCACTTCTCCTAATTTTACTATATTATTTTTCCCCGTTGTCGAAATTCGTGCATTTAGTACTAGCATCCTTATCAACATCATTGCAATCGTAATCATAATTGCAATCACTATCACAATCATCACCATCACCACCTATACTATTAGAGCAGGGACAGACAGACAGACAGACAGACAGACTGACAGACAAACAGACAGACAGACAGAAAGACAGACAGACAGACACAGACAGACAGACGACAGACACAGACAGACAGACGGACAGACGGACAGGACAGACAGACAGACAGACAGACAGACAGACAAACAGACAGACAGACAGACAGACAGACAGAAAAACATACAAACACTACTTCAGTTAAAGAGACAATTTTCACTCCCTATTCAGTGACAAAACGGGTACATCTGCACTATACCTACGTAGAAGTATTAGACCAAGAAACCCGATACCCCACAATACCAGAATACCACCACTTTATTGCTCTCTCTAAAACAAGTCTATCGTTTTAATAATCAGTTTAATAATTCATACAGGATTTCACAGCGGCAGCCTCAACCCTTCTTTCATATATTTCCAAATATGAGAAAAAATATAATTGGTATCATGACCTTTTTTTTTGTTATCATTATAATTCTCTATCTATCGGCTTTTGATATTACTGTTATCTATTTATGTATTTATTATGCATTATCTATTTATGTATTTATTATGCATTATCTATTTATTTATTTATCTATTTATTATCTATTTATGTATTTATTTATGTATTATCTATATTTTACGGGATTGGAGGTTGTGGTTTTGTCAAAGTCATTTTTCTTTCTTTTTTCCTTTTTTTTCTTATTTCTTAGGCTGTATTACGTAATTTTCTAATATTTAGAAGAACAGTGACACTTTTACTTGTTATGTAAAATCCGTCAAACAGTAAAAATGTTTAATATTTATATTGCAATATCAAATATGATAGAACCAGTAATTATATTGATGACAATAGTATTAACGAAAATAATAAAGACGACAATAATAATAATAATGATAATGATAATAATAGAAAATGCAGAAAATAATGATAATGATGATAACAAGAACAACAATGATGAAATTAATAACAACCGCAATAATGATAAAAAGAAAAATACTGATAATAATATCATTATCAATAATAAGACATTACAATAGTGAGAATGAAGATAACAACAACAATAATAATTATGATTATTAAATCACTCCATTGTCATTATCATAATGATTATGATTATGATTATAATTATAATAATTACAATGACAATAACAATTACGATGACGATGATAATAATAATAATGATGATTATTATGATTATGATAAGTATAATAACAATGATAAAATATAATGATAATGATAATATAATAATGATGATGATATAATAATAATAATAATAATAATAATAATAATAATAATAATAATAATAATAATATAATAATAAAATAATAATGATATATAATAATATAATAACGATAATAATATAATAATGATATAATAATAATAACAACAAAATTATATAATGATAATAATAATAATAATAATAACAAATGATAATAATGATAATTATAATAATAAAGATAATAACAATAATAATGATAAAAATAATGATAATAACGAAAATGGTAATGGCAATGTTAATGACAATAAAAATGGTGAAAAATAATCATAATGATAACAACAAAACAATTGTAATAATAATGATGATAAATATATTGAAAATAATAAAACAATAACAATAACAACAACTATAATAATAATAATAATAATAATAATAATAATAATAATAATAATATAATAATAATAATGATAATATAATAATGATAATAATAATAATGATAATAATAATATAATAATAAAAATGATGATACTAATAATAATGATAATGATGATAAAAATAAAATGTTAATGATAATAATAATAATGATAACAATGATAATAATAATAATAATAACAATAATAATAATGACGTTAATAATAATGAAAACAATAATAATCATGATAATAAAATAAAATAACAGTAACGATGATGATAAGAACAATAACAACACTAGACGTAATACTGATCATAGAACAATATCGCTTATAAAGAGAGCCGCAATTACAACATCATCAAATCACAACAAACCACACTATAAACACAATACCTCGCCAAGAAAAAACAATATTAAAGATAAAGTTAACAACACAAGATCACTCTTAACAGATAGAGAGAGTAAGAGCGAGCGAAATCTTCAACAACCAACCTCTTCTCTTCTCTTCTCTCTCTCTCTCTCTCTTCCGATCTTTTCAAATCTCTTATAATTTCCTTTCCCAATACGTATTTTCCCCCCTTTCTCTTACTTTTTCTCTTCGCTCTCTCACATCACAACCAAGCGACACGGAACCGAAATCACCATAGAAGCGACGGGACGGCACACCTAGTGGCGCGC